AAGAAAGCTTTTTTGTTGATTTTAGAAACTGCGAATGTCGATCGAATGCAAGTATATGTTTTCCATTCGTGGCCAAATAGTGTCTTTCCGGTACAAGCCAAATGAAGACTTGCGCCCCAGCAGAAAGATTCGATATTTGAGTAGAAACATGAAAAACTATACAATCTAAACAACTCCGTCAAGACATTAAAGTGAGATAACAAACAAGCAGCCCTTAATAAACATTCAAAACAAGAAAGAAACATGTTTTCCCCGGATTGATTTTGATTCGAGTTGTGACGAACGAACTCAATGGGTCACCGTTTTCACATGACCTTATATATGACCTCGTTGGTGTGACGAATTTCGAGGTCATTCATATTGAGATAGTACGTAACTGATCAAAAATGTTGGGGACAAACATCCACTACTAAATAATGATAAGTAACTCTGGTTATTATTATACGACGTTAAAGATGGTGGGCCTACTTGTTACCCTGGTCGGCTCCGAGTCAGTATACTGTGTCTGAGTGGGGTATTCATGTTCAACTGCAGCATGGTATCTCAGTGGGCTAACCTATAAAACCGGCATTAACCTCAATACGGGTCATCTCATGAAGGGACCCTGAAATGTTAATAAAGAATAAAGTGGTTGTTATTCATAAACCATTGTCACTCACTCACTCACACTCACTCATTTAACCTGTTTCGGTTCGACTAAACGCGCCGGAAATGGAGAGTTTTCCGGGGAGACAACTCTGTCGATTTTTCCATGGGGGTTTTAAGACGTGCGTGCTTGCGCGCGCGTTTGTGCGTGCGTGTGCGTGTGTGTGTGCGCGCGTGTGCGTGCGTGCGTGAACGTGTGTGATCCGATCGAATCTGAGATTCAAACCCACAATAAACTGCGGCGCCATAGATCAGTTAGTCAGTCAATGATAGTCCAGATAACTGCAGCTTCAGTCTGAAAATGAAGAGCGTCTCCGGGCTCCTGTTTATTATATTTAAATTAACAACTGTTTTTTATATAAAATATTTTAATTTCAGAGTCTAGACGTTTGTCTATGGACCAGCGAGCCACCCTGCCCCTGTAGGTTTGGAATGAACAGAGGCGTGTTGCTTGTCGAGCCTTAACTCTTACTGGCACTGGTGCCAATCAAAGACTTGATACTGTTATCTTCCAGTGAAATATAACCATTTGCAAGATGGCCATTTTAAATTAATGTTCAGGTCCATGCAAGAACAGGGTTACCCTTTTTACGTTAGTAATTTATAAATTCTCATCACAGGATATGACCGGAGATGTTTTACAACAAACTCTGTGTTCCTGTACACGACTAATGCGCAGTAAACACTGCCTGAATCCCTTCCTTGAAATGTTGATAAATAACTCCCTTCATGTTGAAGTACACGCATCTGCTGGCTGGGGTGGACGGGAGGGGAGGTGAACAAACAGTGGTGACTGATTGACAGAAACCAGACCGGACTTGTCCCCCTCCGCCGACCCAACCCCCTTCATCTCCCCAGCTGTCATGTACAGCCTAACTCCCCCCCCCCCCCCCCCCCCCCCCCCCCCTTCTCTAATATATATCAGAGTGATTCATTTGTGAACGTTAATTATGTTCCAACGTCAGCAACGCCGACTTCGAATGAGGCTGCCGGCACTGCAGCATCTGTTACAGCACCCTCAGTATCCTTAACATTAACGGCAACTTCAACAGCTTTTTGGGACACGGGTGCATGAAAGTAGCAGTAGTTGTGTTGTTGTTTGTTGTTTATCGCCGCCCTCAGAATTACTCCAGCTATACGACAGCGGTCTGTAAATAAACGAGTCTAGACCAGACAAGCCAGTGATTGGCATCATCACCATAGGTCTAAAGGTGAATTGGGGCCACAGGGAGGCCTTTTTGCGCCACAGTTCAAGTTGCGTCCCTTAGGTGTGCCAGAAGCCTATGATCGTGTATACGAATCCATGTTCGCCCTGATTGTGTTTCTAGACTTATCAGCACTCTATCCGTGGTCGTTGGTTTCATCACATCTGGTTTTCCCCCTACATCATGCTGATAAAAGATTTTTTGTAAGTCTATCGTTATCCTACAAGCATTCTCGGCGTCACATATCTACAGAACTACAGAACTAATCTAGCACTGCAACAAAGCTGACCGATTGCACCATCGAACCAAACCATGAAACAGTCCCCGTTCACCCCGCAGTCGTCGCATGAGCTGATACACGTACCTTGCAAGGGTACCTGATCGTCAGCGCTAACACTGGGAGTTGTCGTGAATACATTCGAGGGCGTGTTCCGTTTAAATGTACGGAACGTTCATACAGAAACGTAGCTTAGCTATTCTTTGACTGGCGTTTGCGAGACTTATAATACTACTTCGTTGTGAAAACACCGTTACTACCTGATTTGAAGCAAATGGATGCGGCCACAAATAGATTTCAGCCTAGAGAGAGAGAGAGAGAGAGAGAGAGAGAGAGAGAGAGAGAGAGAGAGAGAGAGAGAGGTTGTCTGGTCAAATACACGCTCCAAGGTCGTTCATAATGTGATGTGCGTCATATATTTCGTAGGCATGTTTCTGATGGAGTGAGTGAGTGAGTTATTTCAGAGTGTCAGGCTAATTCGAATTCCAATATTTGCCCCAATTATGATTTAGGTTTGTCAGTGCAGACCTGTGTTTCAAATAAATGGTTAACGTATACAACTTGGTTCACTTCTGGCTTTTCTCTTACATCAAGCTGACACGCCGTTATATAACTGCAATACTGTTCAAAGTGGCGCTACGTCGAACACACTCACTAACATGGAAAACATCAATGACCTCAATACTTACTAAATTAAAGAGAATTGGATAAATAAAATGCTGAGGAATGTGTAAATTTAATTCTGTAAGCTTTGTTTGTTTGTTGGTTAACGCCGCACTCAGCAATATTCCAGTTGGATAACGGCTGTCTGTAGATAATCGAGTCTGAACCAAACAATCCAGTGATTGACATCATGAGCATCGATCCACGCAATTGTAATACGATGACATGCATCAACCAAGTCAGTGCATTCTGTATCACATGTTTTATATACATTGCTTCATCACCCATGAAATATTTCAGGAGATGTAAAAAATGTAACGGTAATCGACAGAAATTTCACCGCGCACCTATATACAACATTTTAGAGTTAGGAGTAATTATAGAGTAGGTCGATGATAGGAATTAATAGTGGTACAAGTGTACTGGAAAAAGCGTTGGGAACCCATCAAACATTCCTATCCCTCTAAACTCAGATAAAGTCCACAAATATCCGCTGCATCCTCGGCCAGTTGACAGATGGAAGATGTATGACTCTCACTTACAGCCACCTGGGCCCACTTGCACACAGCAATCTTATCATGCGCCTATCTGAAGTCTATATAGCATTGGGACGACGTTTTCTGCTATATTTGGTCAGTGGCGACGCTTGGGCAGTGTGCAATATGTAATGAATGCACATACATGCACATTACACATGAAAACATATTTCAACATAGAGGGTAATGCCATGGTGATATAAACTGAGGGGCTAAAGAAAGTACACCGAGTTTTGGTTTTGAAAATGTAATTGAAAAGTGAAAGAACTGTTTAGGTAAAGTAATCCGTAGCTGGGTAATGTTGTATTAAAATATAGGGGTTCAATAAAGACCGGGGTAAGAAATACATTTGAAACCACATGACCCCTACCATTTTTTAAATATTGTAAATTTAGCCAAAAAATGGAAAATCAATTCACCTGAGAGGTGTAGTTTCTTTTGCTCCTTGGTGTATTGTTAATTTCTACAGGGAAATAATTCTTAGAAATATTAGGTTCACTGCCAGTGATAAATGATATCTAAAGTACACAGGGATATTAATGTTATAGGAAAACATTGAAACAAAAACCCAATATAACACTGAGTAAATATTTCAACTGATCACTTGCATTCCCGGTTATATATGCAAGAAACTGTTCAATTTTATTTATAATTACAACTTAAATGTAGATATGATAACGATTAAAGGTTTGCTTGCACAGTGCAAATAATGTACACTCATGGTATTATTTGTTTGTTTGTTGTTTAACGCCACACAGCAATGTTCAAGCTTTATGACGGCGGTCTGTAAATAGTCGAGTCTGGACCAGCCAATCCAGTGATTGACACCATGAGCACCGATCCACGCAAATGGGATCAACCAAGTCAGCGAGTCATCCGTTAGTCGCCTTACCCGTGGAGATCCAGGGTAGAATAGGTTTTCAGCAAACCCATGCTTGCCCTGAAAGGCGACTATGCTTGTCGTAAGAGGCGACTAACGGGATCGGGTGGTCAGGCTCGCTGACTTGGTTGATGCATATCATGGTATCCCAATTGCGTGGATCGATGCTCATGATGTCAATCACTGGATTATCTGGACATTCGATTATTTAAAGACCGCATAGCTTGAATATTGCTGAGTGCGGCGTTAAACAACACACAAACAAACATTAGTCGCCTCATGTGGCCAGCATGGGTTACTGAAAACCTATTCTGTAATTAAGTCACTGAGTTTATATCGTTATGAGCATTACTATCATAATTATTGTTCAAATATGATATTAAAATTTATGTTTAGTGTGTGACTTGACTAGAGAGTAAACGTAAATGTATCACATATCGTCATAATTATATTTGAAATATTGATATTTTTTTTAATTTTAAAATGTTTTACAATGTGGCTTGAATGTAAATATCAATAAATGCATATGATGACAGTTGCTGTTGAGAGTCGACATATTAATACACCTTTATAACTTTACTCATTTCATAATATATTTTTTACATCCGTTTACAAGTGTCGCTGGTGTCGACGGTTAATGTAAATATAGACCCGTACGAGGAATCCCACTTAGGGGAATTCCTGAGTGACGTCACAGTGGCAGACGTGCAGACCTTCACGCAGCTCTCACCCCACGCGTGTTTCACTGCCTCTCTCCCTTGAGCGCAGGTCTTGACGGGAGGGCGGGGAGCGGGCTTGCGGCACAGTAGCAAGTCCAGCGAGAAGGACGGTTGTGTTTGACCACATGCAACCACTTTGAATTTTTTTAATGTTTTTAGTTTGAACTTCATTCATGAAGCGAGTGTGGGAGAAGTAACCTTGACAACAGAGAAGGAAGTACGGTGATGGCATTGACATCGGTTGATGCGACGGAGTGGTCAGTGAGCGACGACAACGAAATGGTAAGTTCGTTAAATCTTACCTAAATGATAATAGTTATTTTTTTAATATTAGTTGTTTTTGTTCTCATAGGTTCCAAAGGCAGATAATTTGGCATACCATGTATGTATTTATATGTTAAATGTTAATGTTCATGTTAATGAATGTTAATCACCAGTTTTAGTTCGATCGTTGCTCAATGCATCAATCATACTTGATTACTTATGGGCCGCCGTCATATAGCTGGAATATCAATTTCTGAGCGCGGCGTTAAACCGCAAACAAACAAACAAATGGAAACTTAATCATTTAAATAACCAACTTTTGTCAAAGTGGTTTGATTAAGGTGAAGGTGAACCAGTAAAAATGAATGATAGAGCATCCTTAACCTCAAGTTTAGCTTTACCCATCCTCGAACCCACCCCTCTCCCCATACACATCCCATTAACCTCACCCCTACTTCTCCCGCCCTGGCAGAATGCAGGCATTTTAGAATCATAGAATGGCTTGAAGCTGGTCCTATGGTCCTTGGAGCTGGTCCTATGGCGATCCGTAAATATGCAAAAGGATCCTTGGTTTTCACTGTCAATACATTAACGCTCACATTTTGTAATGAAGGCATTGTACAAGTATGAATAACGCTAACTATAGAATAACTTCCCTCTGCCTCGCATCACGTAACGCTCAGACCAAGCGGAAGTGGAACTCCCTGTACAACTGGGAGATTCCGAGTGATGACGTCATCAGTGTGATGGGGAGCCTGGGAATAGAATAGGTTATATTATCAGTGGTATTAATGTAAGTAATCTATCTAGGAGAAGCGGGTGACAGATATCGGGTGTTATCAGATTATAGTTGAGGCGAGTTGGATGGCTCATGAAATCAGTGTATATTAATCTAATCTAATGCTATCCAAGTGTTAGACGTGTTTAGTGACCACACATGGCAACGCCATGCGAACTGGTGTTCACAGGCTATGTTAGGCTGAATTTCTCCTGAAGGCTATTAAAGGTCACGTTTGAAACATTTTCTGACACGCTGAAGATCCGCTGATCATGGGTTCGAATCCCAGATTCAACTTGATTTAGACTTTGTCATATCCAATCTCGTGGTATCTATGTCTACGAGTATTCTTCCCGAAACCCTATTTTCGAGGTCGTTAGACCAAACATTCATTCATTAACAGTATATACCATTACGAAGTTGCAATTCTTGTAAAGGAAAGTTTTAGGAAATTGATTGCCATGCCTCCCCATTTATTCCTTAAGAAAATAATGAAACAAATATATGCGATATAATATGTGCTACTTTCGTAACTGCTATCAATTGTAAGAACAACATTATACTTTTCTGATACAGATTCGAGGCAATTATTGACACACCTGCGACAACTGTATCGTTGTCAAATTGTCAAATTCCAGAGTGCTGCTCCTTATCAACTATTTTTTTTTTTACTTGTGGCTACGCGGACAAGTCAATATCAAAATCGTTTATAGGGAACAGCACAGAGAAAGTGTTGTCGCAGCTGCTCTAAATACGACTAAGTATCATTCACAAAATCACAGGTCTGCCAACAGGATATAAATCCGCCGTGATCCTGTTGTTAGACAGCTAGTATCTGACAACTCCAGGCATGCGCACAAGTAAAGTCAGTGCCATTTTTTAAATTATATTTTTCAGAATAATATCAGACAAGGCTAGTCACTAAGTTATTCAGTTCTGCGCGCATCCACACACAAAACAACTTTTCATATCGCAGTGCGCACCTGTACATCTTGAATGAACCCCCTCACAAAGCCATGTTTTGTACGGGATTCCCATGTTTAACACCTGCATAGTTCAAGAGTTGCGTGACCTATTGCCCGGATGTTTACGCCGAATACAGACAAGGCAACAATATAAAAACAATTAGATTAAAGAATTCGAGAAACCGGAGATGAAGGCCACAATCTGAATCAGATATCACAATAAAAAATGTTGGGAAATTCTTCATCCTTGGTGGATAAGAAGACTACGACTACAAAAATATGATAACATAAAAATGCCAAATTAAATTACAAATAATAATTGATTAAATGCATTTCATGTAGTCTCATGGCACATTGTCCCTAAACACCCTTTATTAAGAGAACGAAGGCTTCTTAGAAGAAAATACCTAGTATCTAGTACTGTAAACATATTAAACATTAAATCAGACTGTTAATAGAATTGACTTTCAAGTTTCTCACTGAACAGACCGACCCAAACATCTGTCATTTTTGCCAAATAAATTACAAAATATTTACATACATAAATGTTTTAATCATTCCTAGATCTGTGTTGCAAAAATGCCCTAAACCATACAATAAAATAAGTATGACCTAATGTTCTGTTACAATTATGTTATTTTTGATCGACATATACTTCCGTATGGATGTCGTTTTTTGACGTATGTCAAAAATCGTCCATTTTAGTTTTGTAAATAAGTGAGTTGGAATGAATACACGAATACCGTAAGTCTCAGATTTGAATTTAACGTTATGGTCTCACCTTGTCGCCTACGTGACCACAGCCAGGTAGACGGCGGGGAATGCTGATTACAGGTAGGGCAGGTGCGATTCAGATAGATCCATACAGTTAAACTACTGCACGTACTCTCAGGTATGTAATGTGCCAGGTATATGGATCAATGACAGGTAAACAAATTATAACTTTAAATTCAGAATTTATAACAACAGACTTCAAACACACGAATGATGGTAAATGCAACTGTGACAATCACGGAGCAATAGTATTTAAGGTTCGCTGGTGAGTTGGTTTTGTGGCCATGTTGAGAATCGATAATCGTGATGATCTGACAGTTATTCTCCTATGTTGTATCCCCTTTTATGTAAGGTACGACGAATGATGATGATGATGATTATGAACACGGTCACGAGACTGCACCTCTCTTTCAGAGAGATCGCGGTCCGCTTGGGGGCGGTTGGGTAGCCTAGTGGTTAAAGCGTTCGCTCGTCACACCAAAGACCCGGGTTAGATTCCCGACATGGGTACAATGTGTGAAGCCCATTTCTGGTGTCCCCGCCGTGATATTGCTGGAATATTGCTAAAGTGGTGTAAAACCATACTCACTCACTCACTCACTCACTCTTCACCGCTTGTTAGTGGTATGAATGTCTGTTCTCGCATGATTAAGGAACATTAATTGCAGTGCGTGGAGATTCAAACCACGAACATATGCGCGATAATCGAACACGTTTATTACTGAGCCACACTAGCCCGGCTTCACTGAAAATATTCCAGTTGATTTTTTTGAAGACAGAAATGTTAAGAGGTTGTCGGATGTGAAGACGGTTTCCTGTGTGAGTGCTTGCCATACCTTTCTCTGGTCTGTTTCTGGGTTAATACGCGTAGGGAAATGACCCCATATGTAGTCATTAGTTATCTAGTGACTCAGTATCTCGCCGCCCCAATATACACCATTAGCCCAGGACACGGGTGTAGCACATTTATCAACAATCACCTTTCTAATACATCTCCGGGCCATGTACGTGCGTAATGGCAATCTGACATCGAAATATTTAGATGATGTCAGCGAGTTTGATGATGCTATCAGTTGTTTTCAGATGATGCATATGTCTTTTATATGGTTGGTAGGCCTGATTGGACTAGAGGGCCAGTGAATCTTATATTTCATCAATTCCGGCGATCTCAAGACATGCTGGTATTGTGTTGTTTCGTTTAAGCTCCATTCGAATGCGCATCTACGTTGCGTTGTTCTGGAAGTTCCGAACCATTTCCTCAAAGCGATGTCGTGCTACGATGCGAAACGATGGGAATTAGGGAAGTCCCCGATCCCCCCATCTTTAAATTCTGAATCTATAGTGAGTGAGAAAGTGTGGTGTAACGCCGCTTTTTGGCAATATTCCACCAATGTCATGGCGGAGACACGAAAAGAGCTTCACAATGTACCTGCGTTGGAATAGAACCAGGACTTTGGAGATGACAAGCGAACGCTTTGACCACTACGCTATCTCCTCTGCTGAAAATGGTTTGTCTCATGACAGGATCTGGTGTATTAACGGTCTGTCTCGTGACAGGATCTGGTGTATTAACGGTCTGTCTCGTGACAGGATCTGGTGTATTAACGGTCTGTCTCATGACAGGATCTGGTGTATTAACGGTCTGTCTCGTGACAGGACCTGGTATATTAACGGTCTGTCTCATGACAGGATCTGGTGTATTAACGGTCTGTCTCGTGACAGGATCTGGTGTATGAACGGTCTGTCTCATGACAGGATCTGGTGTATTAACGGTCTGTCTCGTGACAGGATCTGGTGTATTAACGGTCTGTCTCGTGACAGGATCTGGTGTATTAACGGCCTGTCTCGTGACAGGATCTGGTGTATTAACGGTCTGTCTCATGACAGGATCTGGTGTATTAACGGTCTGTCTCGCGACAGGATCTGGTTTATTAACGGTCTGTCTCGTGACAGGATCTGGTGTATTAACGGTCTGTCTCGTGACAGGATCTGGTGTATGAACGGTCTGTCTCATGACAGGATCTGGTGTATTCACGGTCTGTCTCGTAACAGGATCTGGTGTATTAACAGTTTACGTCATGACTGTCTGGCATGTCCATATCTATGTTACAGACACCTGCATGTCTGTCCTGTCTGTAAGTGTCCCATGACCAGGTCTTGACACCACAATCTCATGTCGGGCGCAGTATCCCTCATGCGTACATGTCAAACTCTCCATAGAAATCTACCCGTGAAGATAGTCTGTCCTTTAACTGGCCCATGTCTGCACTGCGTGTCTGACGCTCAAAGCCGGTTGTGTACGTGTCGGCACTCCACTCATTGCCGTATCTCAGGAATTCAAAACTTTTTTTTCTGATGTCAATGCGATATACAAACACTGTTATCAAACATACTGACTTAACAGGTGAAGGGTGACATACAGATTTACTCCCCTAGAGAGGGACCAGAGTTGAGGGACGAGAGTCTGAAGTTCAGAGAAGCCAAACAGAACGCCTCTTCAT